CCCGGGTCGCTATAATTTGTCGCTCCGCTATGGAGGGCCCCTCGTCTTTTCTCGTAGGTTTTTCTCCCTAAAAGGTAGGTTTCCAAGGTACCCCCAATTTTCAAGCTTTCCAGGGGGGGGGGGGGGGGGGGGGGGGCTTGCAGACCAGCCCAGGCCAAATGTTCCGCCACACTGCAACCGACTGCAAGAATGACTGACTGCCACAAGCTGGCGTTCCCCCCCCCCAGGGTCCATGGTTCTCCATTTCCCAACGTCGGCGATCGGTCATCGGCTGTGACTCCCGTCAGCCTTCAACCTTTCCTCTCTCTGCCTTTCTGCCTTTCTGCCTGATGAATGATGGACGATGACCTTTTCTCTGGTCTCGGTGACCCCTGCCTTACCTTTCCGCCTCATGGTAAGGTACTGTACCTTGGCCATCCCAGCTCGGCGTGGCCTTGTTGTTTCTGTCCACGGCGCGCAAGTGGCCGGTGGCTTTCACTGTCTGTCTCGTCATCTGTTCACTCTCTCTCTCTCCCTCCCCATGTCTTCGGCTCTTTGCTGTTGTTGTTCTCTTCTCGGCTTTCTCCCCACCCCCCCTGGCCTAGTCTGGCTTGGATTGGCGGTCCACTCGTCTTTGGCCCTTTTCTCATCATCTGGTTTCTCCGACTCGTGGTTCTCTTCATTCATGGTGTTTCCGTTCGTCCCCATTCCCACCCATTGCCTACCGTCCTGGCCATTTACTTCCCAAACCATCCATCCATGCCCGTGAACACCCCCCCTCGCCATCTCATTGATCATGACCCACCGTTCTGATGCCAGACGTGAACGTGAACGTGAACCCCCCCCCACCGCCTCCCCTCCCCCTTCCCCTTCCTGGCAACTCTAGGCCTCCCCTCGTCCCCGTGCCCGTTTAATGATAATCTCTTTTTTTGGTGGTGAGCCCATCCAGCTTGCTTTGCCGGATGATGCCTGTCTGTGCCCATTCCCATTCCCTTCCCTTTTCCTCTTCCCCCCCCTTCCATCCATCCATCCATCCCCCTTCCCGTCTCCCGCTTCCCCTTCCTCTTCCCCTGTGCCCATTACCCATTGCCCTTTGGCCCCGTTTTTCTCCTTTCCGTTGCCTTGCCTTTCCCAAGCAAGGCAGCTCTTATGCTCGCTCGCCCGGGAAAAAAAATAAACCCCAGCGCGCGACCGCTTTCTGGTCTCTCTCCAAAAGTGTAGCCATCCCCATCCCTCTTTTCGACCACCCATTTCCCTTTCGACTTTCTCTCCTCGACAACTCACCACAACGCTCCCAAATCGACGTCCGATTCTTTCGTTCATCAAAACGGCGTCAACGTCTCGACCATTTCATCGTAGAAAACGGTGCATCTTCTTCGTCGCACTCGGCTGCTTCTGCTCATCGCATCAGTGAGCGAAAGATACGCTAGCGAGGCCCTTTTTTCGCGGGTCAACGTCATTCAACACGGTCGTCAAGAGAGACGGCCGCGCAGCAGCCCAGCGCAGTTGAGGCTATTCCCAGAGGTCCACCTTTTCCAACCCTTCCTGCTTCCTCGCCAGCAACGCCAACCAGCCGGCCAACCAACCAACCACCCGCCCTCCTCGGCGACTCCGCACCAGCCAGGCCGCAACCATCAGATTTGCTGCTTAGTCCCAATCTGCACCGTCACTCTTGCGCCTGCATCGCCTCCGGCTGGCCAGTCCAAACGCACCACCCTAGGCCACATCTTACCTAATCTCCTCCCCCCCTTCCCGCATTCCCGCCCGCGACTGCATTGGAGCCTCCACACCGAACCGAAAGTGAAGTCATTCGCGACGACGCATTTGAACATTTCACGAGCCACTTTCTTCGCCATACACACGGCCCGCAACTGACTTTGTTCTGTCAAGTGCACGTGTCGCCGTCTGATCGCTCCAACCAAGCTTTGATCAATCGCATCAAGGTTTTGGAGCGAAACAGGCGCAACAACAACCCCCCCCCGTGTCCTCCCCACCCTAGTATGGCGCCTGGAGGAGACGCGCCAACGCGTGACAGCTCATCTCCCGGCCTCTCCTCGCCTCCCTCCGGTTCCCTATCCGAACCCGGCTCACCACTCAAACACATCAACCACCACAGTCGAACCAGCATGGATATGGACGAGATCATCGTCGACCCTTCGCAGCCCAGGTTTGGCGTTGCACCACCCACAACACCCCAGCCCGAAGTCCGCCTCACAGCAGCGGGCCTGCCGAGGAAGAAGCCCGGCCGCAAGCCTGGCTCGACGTTGAAGCCTAAGAACCCCGATGACCCGCCCAAGGTTCGAAAGCCCAGGAAGCCCAAAGACCCCAACGCTCCTCCCATCCAGCGAAAACGCAAGTCCGCCCCTGCCCAGGACGAACCGGTCGAACCTGCCGACTCCAAGTCCCTCGCCGCTTCCGCTTCTGCCTCTGCGTCCGCCTCTGCGTCCGCCTCTGCGTCCGCCTCTGCGTCCGCCTCTGCGTCCTCATCGCGCCAACACCGCATCTCCGACATTGTCGACATTGACTCGGCTGACTCTGGACGCCGCACACCTTCGGCCCAAGACTACATCTCCCAAAAGGCCCTCAAGCGGGAAGAACTGCCAAGGTCGATGCAGAGCATACTAAACTCCGATCCTGAGCCTCTGTCGATGCACCCATCCAACGGAAGCACGACGCTGCCCACGCGCACCAGCGGCCAGAGCTATGACCCCATTCGGGGCAACTACGACCCCGTGCGAGGAATTTTCGGCAACGCCACATCGCCACGACCGCCGACATCCACCCTCAACCGGGCCAGCGCGTCGCCCTCGATCGCCAGTCTCGTCGAGCCTGTTCGTGGCGTCGCCGCCTCGCCCTCACAACAACAGTCCTACCAGCCGAACCACGCGCAATCTCGCGTCGAATCGGCCCCCACATCGCCCCTCTACCACGCCCGCCCTGCGCCCCAGCCCATGGCCAAGCCTGCGCTACCCGACTCGACGAAATCGACGGCACCACCTTCCGTTTCGGCCGGCAAGTCGGAACCCAAATCTCGCGAAGTTCCCTTGGCCACTGGCATCACGGCCCTGAAGAAGGCGAACAAGACCAAGTCGAGCACGGCAGCCTCGTCACCGAAGAACACGATGGACGACCCGACCATCCTGCCGACCGATACGAACCGCTCGATTCTCGACTTTGGCAAGGCCGAGCCCGGCAAGGACTTCCAGCCCCCCTCGATCGTTTTGCACATTCCCCTCCAAGTGGGCGAGACGAACAAGTATGTCAACTTTATGCGCGAAGCCGAGGAGCGTTACGGCTGGGACGCACTGTATCCACGCGTCGTCGCGCAGCGCGACCGCAAGGCACTCATCGCTGCGGCGTGGGCGGCGTTCGGAAGACGGCGCCGGGTCAAGAGTCGGTTGACGATGCCTCGTCTGTACGCGTTTTTTTTTGTTTATCGTTGCTAAGTAGGGTTGCATGA